TATATATATATATATATATGTGTGTGTGTGTATGTGTGAGAGAGAGAGAGAGGGAGAGAGAAAAAAAAAACCTTTTCCCTGTTCAGAATATCGGATGATGAGTATCTATAGTCAAGAGAGGATACAGTTGTTCAAATTCATATTCTAGTGTGCTGGCTGATAAAGAAGCGGACGACTGACCTCAATGAATTGTATTAACCATCAATAAATAAGATTACAAAGCTGTATTTTTTACATCACGAGGAACTCGCAAAAAAATATTACAGAACATTTGGATCTTCATTCGCCATTTACTACTATTCCCTCCTCCTCAATACTATAACCAAGAAAATTCCTCAAAAAATCAAAGCACAAGACAACAATGAATGTAAAACTACAAGCAATCATGTACATGTTAGGTCAGCTCTAAATTATCTCACTTCTCGATGCCTTGCTGCAGGTACTGTATCAAGTCATAGCCAGCAGTGGTCCACTTGTTATAAGCATCTTTACAAACATGGGTCATGAAATTGGCTGCTTCACGCTCACTCATCTCCGGATGAAATCTCTTCCGAAGATTGCCAATCGGGTCACCTCTGCTGAAGCAAGGTAACCCGCTGTCTAGCATTAATGCCACTGTAGTGATGATCCCATCCATTCGTCGACGGGCAGCAAGGTACCCTTTCACACACAAACTAGATGTACAATAAACAGTGAAACAAAGAACGCTCAGTTTTTAATATATGGACATGCTGGGAAAAAAAAAGTTTGTGATCTAGATTCAAATGCCCTTATTACCTTAAAAATTGGTTCCATGTTTCACTCTTCATAACACCAGATGGATCTAGTAATTGTGTCATTTCATGGCTCAGCTTAAAATGAGCACTTTCAAAACGCATATTCCCACCCGGAGAAGTTTCTAGGATGAAACCGAAGTCAATATGAACAAGCCTCCCAACACTGCATCAGCATGCATATTAGTGATGCCTTTAATCGGACCAGAAAGCAGAAGGGGCAGGGGGAATAAAGATCGCAGGTGAATCGAAACAATGAGGATATTCAAATGCTTCAGAGGCATCTAAAGCTAAATTCAAATCCACTAGCAACTATAACTGACTTGCTGACAATGTAATGGAAGAAAGACAAAGATCTTACTTATCAAAGAGAAGGTTCCCATTGTGCCTATCCTTTGGTTGAAGTAAAAGACTAGCAACGGCATAACCAGCACTGCTAACTATAAAGTTCTGGCGAGCAGCCTCAAAACTGTTGGACCCAACAGGTCCATAGTCTTGCTGAAATATCTCAAACAAACCTCCATCGGTCGTTTCCCCCATCTGACTTCTACTTCGTGTATTTGGCACAACCTGGAAAATGTAAAATAAAATAAAAAATTACAAATCCACAAAACAACTACCCCATACATGACATAAGTAATTAACATTGAATCTGGTTTCCAACAAAACTCTTTGGAAGTCATTTAATATTTTTTTAGAAATACAAGGCCAAAAAAGAATTTTTTTTTAAAAAATAATAATGACAACAGAACCTTTTGACCTAACTGTTTTAGTATGGTTAATTCAGCACTTGCATTATTTCTTAGTTAAGCAAAATGGAAAATGATAATACCATAAAATTAGCACCATAAACCAAAGTAGCATCATAAACCATCATTCGCATGTTGCATAAGTATCTAACAAAATCAACTAAAATTATTTGTTGAGTCCAAAACAATGTATACGTGTTCGATAAAAAGAGAGTTTCAACGTGATTCAACTTGTTTGTGTCCTAGGATCACAAAACTTGCAAGTCTTTTAACATGAGAATTTGAACAACCATGACTCCTAGAATGAATGAATGAATCCAATTTTGCTCAAAAGAAATACATCGCTCAAAAATGCACTTCCAGAGGCTACATAAGATGACAGTTATCGCTGCACTTCCATTATGATCAAGAAAATACTTTGACTGATGACTCACAGAATTCTCACAATGTTGAAGCATATTGGGAATAAACTCACCTCTATTATACCTCTCTCAGGACCAGTAGGCAGAACACCATAAGGAAATAGATAAAGATTTATTCCCACAGCTTCAAATATATCTCTTAATAGTGCTATTACTTGAAGGGCAAGAACATCTTGTCTACAGTCATCTCCAACCTTAAATGTAACAGAACACAGACAGCCCAAGAATTAAAAAAAAAAAAAATCACACACGAATTAGGCACAATTGACAAGAAGCAAGAAAATAAATATGTGCTGCCAAAAAAATTGGTTT